CCAAATATGCAATTTAAAAAAATATAAAGATATTATTTTATATATATATTTTTTATACACATATATTATGTATTTTATACCAAAAAATAATATAAAAATATTAAATAAAATATTTATATACTAAATTCTAAATGAAAATAAAAAATGATGTTTTATATATTAAATATTTAAATTGCACATTAAACTATATACACATTATAATATTTAAATAATATAAGTAATATTAAATAATATTTAAATAGTGTTAACTAATATTTATATACTAAATAATTAAATTACACATTATAATATATATACATATATTTATTATATTTTCAAAACAAAATAATGTAAATATCAAATAAAATTATTAAAACACTGAATATATTTTTATAAAAAAACAGCTGCAATTCTAGTGCACATTAGTGCTACACATATTACACATTAGTGACCAGCAGATCGCACATTATCGAATTTAGCATTTATTATTACATCTTTTCAAACAAAAAAAATATTATAAAATATGGAATATAATTATTAAAATACGAAATATATTTTTTATAATATAAATAATAAATTATATTGATTATATATGTTAGAGTTAACATATCAAAATAAGACGATTATTTTGCTTTTAGGTTGTTTTGGGATACATCATTAAAAAATTTTAATAACTGCAATGTAAATGCACTTTACTATTAGACGGGTTGCACCACAATGAGTGTCATATTGCACAATATCGAGCATAAGCCGACCAAACTAAACGTTTCGTTTCGAATTTTATATTTCGGTTCGATTATTTGTTTTTACTTTTATAAACTCGTTTATTTCGGTTCGGTACCAAACCAAACAAACTATGTACAAAAATAATACTTCTTTGTATTTTTATTTTTATACAAAAATATTTATTTCTTATTAAAATAAAGAATAATAAACATTAACAATCAAATAAAAATGTTAAGAATACTAAATATGATTTTTTATAATATAAAAAATATTTTATTTAAGTTATTTTGGTTAGTTTGGTTATCCGATCGAATAAACCAAGTAATTATGTTCAATATTAATTTAGATTTTGGCAAAAGTTTGGTCAGCTCGTATTGCACAATAGCGACCAAAACAATGCACCATATTGATATACGATTTGCACATCAATGAGTATTAGACTGCACAATATCGACTGACCTTAAGTTTCTTGTTCAAAATATTTATACGTCAGTTCGATTGTATGGTTTTACTTCTAAAATGTCGGATATTTCAATTTATATCATAATGTGCGTTTATATCATAAATATATGTTTAAATTCTTCACATGAATTTTTAAAGTGCATACGTCTACATACTAATGTGCAATTTATTTATCAGTATTGTACAATTATTATAATTTAATATTTTTCGTATAAAAATGACAGTATTTTAATGTTAATATATACACAGACCATAATGTGCAATTTCCCCATCAATGAGATGCATTTATTAAAGTATAGTAAATTATAAATTCAACACATGTATTAAATTGAAAATATATGTAACTGTTTTAATTTGCATACAAGTCCTTGAACCTTATCAAATTTTCAAAAGGCGGTCCCTCAACACCTCAAACAAATCTGCCATTTTTCCGGCGATCGATTTCTCGCCCCGACTCCGCCGCCCGGGATCTGTCACTATCACCGGAGCCTCCCTGCCATGCCTCCGCCGCCTGAGCTTCCTGTTCCACTGGTACGAACACTCCGACGAGATCCGCCACCTCCGCCGCCGGAGCTTCCTGCTCCACTGGTACGAACACTCCGACGAGATCCGCCACCTCTGCCACTGGCGCGACCTATCAAGCTTGAAAGCCCACCGCCGGACGCCGGAATTTTCGATTCGAAACAGCCGTACAAGCTACCGACGGGGCTGTGCATATGGATGACGACGACAGTGGTGGTTGCGACGGGCGGCGGGGCGGCGGGTTTTTTTTTCTCCATCTGATTTTCGGCCGGAGTTTTAGCAGTTGGTCGGGGAGACTCCGGCTACCGTTGGTCGTGAGTCATTTTGCGGGACTGTGCATATGAAGACGGCAGCAGGAGGAGCCAAGAGGATTGCGGCGGCAGGCGGCGGCAGATGGGAGGCGAGAGGCAGATGCGGGAACAGTCAGTGTGTGTGTCTAATCAGTGTGTGTCTGTGTGTTAACGTGTGGTTGCGTGATTTAATTTGTGTGAGAGGGGTTAGTGGTTGTGTGTGGGGTCCACTTGGTGGTTGGGCTAATGTTTAATGACCAAAATATCCTTATTAAGTGGTCAAATATGTATATTTGACCATAATATAACCACTTATTTACTAAATTGCCACAACATATTTGACTAATATATTTAATATTTGACTTGATCATGACCATTAATATGTTGAATCCAATGGTCCAAAATCATTCTTATTTCTTTCACTATCTACCATTCTCACATGATCCTAACTCTCTCTCTCTATATATATATATATAAAGATTAACTATTTACCAAATTTAGTAACAAAAAAAGTCAACTTAAATTTAATGCATGCTATCTTTGGCATTTTTTTTTTAATGTATTACCCTCAAAATCGGTCTACCTTACATATTACAGTGTGAAAGTGGAGAACTCCACAACTCCTATGAATTTTTGCCGTATAATGCTGAACCAGAAATTCATTAACTGCTGCTTTTTTTCTTCCCTATTTCGGTTTCCGAGAAAGTTTTGTTTGGTTCCTACAATTCTTCTAATTTTTCAAATTACTGATAAAACTAGGAGATAATGCATAGAGTAGAGAAGAGAAAGATGTTTATTTTCCATTGCTCGTAATAGTGAGATTACATTCAATATATAGATGTTGTAAGAGATAAAAAACAAATCAAGATCAAATCAAATATCTAATTACCAAAATAACTACTACCAAATCAAGATCATATCAAACCAAAGATATCTTAACAAAATAACTAAACTCTATCTNCCCCTCAAGTTGGTGCATGAATATTTTGAATGCCCAACTTGCTTACGAATTCTGATAAATCCTGGCCACCCACTGCTTTGGTGAAGATGTCTGCTAGCTGAGCTTTGGTAGAAACATAATCAGGAGCGATAAGTGGACTGAAGGATTGAAAGACTGAAAGATAGAGGACAAAGGACTTGATCAATTGTATTTAATATCCAAAGGGCCAAAGGACCGAAGTGATAAAGGACTAAAGGACAAAGGACAAAGGACTTGATGTTGTATTTAATCATCTAAGAATCCATCTAATGGAGGAGGAATTGAACCATCTAATAACCAGATTTTTTTTCGTACCCGGAGAGCAGTCCGGAGAGAAGAAGACATGACTGAAGAGAAGAAAAGAAAAAATATATTAATTAGAACAGCGGTGGTGAAAAACCATGACTCTGATACCATGATAAAACTATGAGAGAATGCATAGAGTAGAGAAGAGAAAGATGTGTACTTTCCATTACTCGTAATAGTGAGATTACATTCAATATATAGATGTTGTAAGAGATAAAAAACAAATCAAGATCAAATCAAATTAAGATCGAATCAAATATCTAATTACCAAAATAACTATTACCAAATCAAGATCATATCAAATCAAAGATATCTTAACAAAATAACTAAAGCCAATCTTAACAAAGATATGTAAATCTCTTGATAAACAAGATATGGGTTTTTTAAGCTAAAACCCACAGATTATTTTTTAGAGTATCTAAATCAACCCTCACATAATTTTTCTTCGGGCCAGAAAAGAAGACGTTGACACTAGGAATAAAAACGTGAGTGAAAAAAGAGAGCAATTTTAATGGTGCTTGGAGGAGATGGAATGAAATTGGAATCGGTTGGCGATCGTGTGTTGGGATTAAGGTTTATGCCTTTCATGTGTTGAGATTAAGATTATTTAGACATTAAATTAATGAAATCCTGATGTTTAATTATGAGTTCTAATATTAAAATTTATATCTGTATATATAAAATAAAAATCTATATATCCATATAAATAGTCGACCTATTTACCAAAAAAAGTTATAAGAAAAGTCAACCATCATTTATTGCATTATATTTTTAGCAGCTTTTGAATTTTTTTTAATTACTCCAAAAAAATCGATCAGCTATATATGCATCTTAAATTCATGGGTTTTGTGAATTTAATTTAGGTAAATTTCGACTGATACTTAAAATTTTGCAAAGGTCGAAATATATATATATATATATATATAAAGGTTTGATTATCTTTTAAATAGTAACTATTTTCTTGCAAAAAAAAAATCTATTTACTATTTTGGGAAATTAATTTAAAAATTTATGGTATATTTTATCGATAAAGTACGAAATCAAATTATTTGGTATACTATATATTGATCCAATATACCCGCTCATGGTAATAAATGGTATCTCAATATTTTTTTTCCTATTGCTAAGTATTTTACTCGATATTAATGAAAGAAAAATCTAGAGAATACTATGGTCGATTCTTCTTTGTAAATGTGCGTAGAACATATCAAATTATTTGATGTGTGTGTGTGTGTGTATTTAAGGTTTGTACTTACTTAAATCACATTGTAGTCAAATTGAATTTTTAAGTAAATTTTTTAAAATGACACCTATTTTGAAACGAATATAATGTAACTTATTATCAATTACTTGCACCGTACGGGTCGTGCACCAATTTTAAATAGACATGTTTTATATAATTTTGCACAATTTAAATTTCATATATTATTTTTAACAAATTAAAATAGGTAAATATTATTCAATGAGCACTTGTAATTTATAAATATTAATAAGTATTTCTTATCCGTGCATCGCACGGTATTCGTATTAGTTAATATATAGAAGAGTTGTGCACAATTAACCCTATAGATTAATGACCATCGGATTCTCTTATTTTATGGGACGGCTGAGATCGAAGAGAGCATATATCCCTTGATTCCGTTTCCCCCTCCGCGTTGCGTTGTATTATTTGACGGGAGGTAGGGTTTAAATTTTAACATTGGCTGTTCTTGCAGAGACACAATACTAGTGACACGATGAATAGAGTCTTGGCCAAATTCGTTCTTCCCCTCTCCCAATTAGCATCCAAATCGACGTTCTCCTCTTCATCATCTCTTGTCACCAGCAGCACCGCCTCCGGAAAAATACGGCGGAAAAGTAAACAAGTGAAGAATCTACTACTTCTTGCCTCGAGTGATGCGGAGTTATCCGTTCGTTACCATAAACTTTCAAACAAAAAAAAAAAACCTAAGGAACTCCACTTTCCCAATACTGTGCGCTCTCGCCATTTTTTCCCTAGTTTTAGCTGCAACGCCTTTTTCTTGGGGCATTTATTTGAAGAAGCTGCTCTGTGGAATCCAACAACAGACGAGATCAAATTTCTTCCTGAATCCTCAGTCCCCCGCCCTCCTTGGACAAGAAACACTTACTTTTGTTATGGTTTTGGGTTCGATCATCATCACTACGACTACAAGGTGATTAGATTTATAGACTATATGTGTCTTGAAGATGATACTGAAAATACTCTAGTTGAGCTGTACTCACTTAAAAGGGATTCCTGGAAGGAAGTCATGTTTCCCCATATCTCTACGCCTCCTGGAATTCAAGGTGTTCACATAAATGGCATCTTCTATTGGCTGGCCGGTGATGGAGTTATCCTCTCCTTTGACATGACTACTGAGGAGTTCCCTTCCATTTCCACACCTCTTATTCCCCTGCCCCAAACTGATCTTCTTAATTACTTCAACAATAACCTTATTCTTGCTGAGTTTAATGGGCAGCTCGCCACTATTGTCCACAGTAATTTGGAATCATTATGTCTTGATTCTTTCCATATTCAAATTTGGGTATGGAATCATGAATCATGGTCTAGAGTGTTGTCCAATGTCAGTATTGTCAGTGGCGTCGCATATTGTAAGCTGTTGGGCTTCTTCAACAATGTTGAGCTATATGTTCAATCCTGGGATGGTGAAGTGGTGTGTGTGGATTGTGCAACAGGAGAGCTCAAGTTCCTTGGTCTGTTTGTTGATTCATGGAGAGCTTCCCTTTTTCCTTATGTCGAGAGTGGGCAGCCAATCCAAGTGTAATATAGATATATCTTTATTCATGTTACGTTGTCATTTGCTTGCATTCCTTATGTTAGTGCTACATTATGCTCCTTATGTTACTATGGAAACATTATTCTTTCAAGAGTTATTATCAGTTGGGCTGTGTAGTCTACATGCAGTCATGTATTTGGTAGATTTAGCTAGTTGATATTACTGACTTAAAAGATAAGATTATATATATTATAAATTAAAAAAAATTAAAAAATATTTGTTAAAAAGTTCATTCTACCAGACCAGACTTATTTGAATAAAATAAGCTTATTATAAGCTATGAGCTAATCATAAACCTATGATGCTTACCAAACACATTGTAGATAGTCCCAATCCTCTTGTCTCTTGCTGCTTGTGCCATGCCATCAATTCGGTTGAAAGTTAGTACAGTGTGTTGATTTTTGGATCCGTGCATCATTTGAGAAATCAAGTAAAACATTATGATGCAGTTATACCCCAACTACTAATTTCAATCTCACTAACTTCTAAAAGTTAGGTTTCTGTACTTTGAATTTGTGAAGTATTTACCGGGTTGATTATAGGAGAAAGGCAAAATAGGTGATTACTATATTATTGGCTTTTAAAAAACTATATATGAATTTATATAATATATGCATTCATGTATAACCATGCCACTACTCAGCATTTTGTTTACCACAAAAAGTGAAAATGGGCCTCGTGTGATAAATGTTGCAACATAACTGATCGCCGGACAGACCGTTTTCAGATTCTGTGCAACTCAATGCACCAAAAACAATAATAACTGTTGTTGTTGTATGTTACTTTCTCATATATATTCTTCTTATTAAAATGAATAGAACTAAAACTATTGTCATAGTATGTGTTGGAGTTTTGTTGTTAGAGATACGAATTCCATTTCAACCTCATGATTGCTTACGTATTTTGTTTGACATATGTATCTGGATTATGTCGTTATTGTATTAAGCCTACCACACGACACTCGTTCCCCTCCCCTCTAAGGCCACCCAAAGTTGATTTTTGGATTCCTTCAAGCAGCTGTGTATTCTTTTTTCTTTGCTCATTTATGGTATTTATAAATATCTTTTATTTGATTACTTAATACAACGTTCTTGAAGTCGTTAACCATTTTCAGTCTTGATGAATATTCTCATTTCGGGAATCGGAATGCCCTAAATGGGCCGAAAAGTCATAAAGGTACAAGTCCAATGTCTGATATACATCCAGTCAAGAAAAGATAAAAAACAACAAAGAAAAGAAAAAATACAGTGAAAAGCTCACAACTGCAACAATAAATATGAAAATAACAAATCATGTTCCGAGGTAGAGTCCTGGCTAGAAAGTCAGCATCACAGTGTGGCGGGTGCGCCAAAAGGTAGGTCCGACTACACAAATCTGAATGAGGGGTATCCCATCTGGTCCATCCGTATGAGGGTGCGGAGGCGGATAGGAATATTGTCAGGATAAATAATGCGTTTGTGGGGGGTGGATGACCCGATGCCAGCGAGGAAGTCAGCTGGCCGGTTCCCCTCGCGGATGACGTGCGAGATCCGGGAGCGAAACGTCTGGAGAGTGGCTCTTATGCGCATGAGAGGGTGTTGGATCTGCCACGTGCCCTAATGTCCCGATGACAGAAGAGTGATAACAGCGGCCGCGTCCAACTCTATCCAAATGTGAGAGGAGATCGAGGCGGCAATCTGCAGACCGATCTGGAGCACCTGAACCTCCGCGTCATAGTTCGAAGAGGCCCGAAGAGGGGCATGAAATGCGGCAATAAGGGCGCCGCTATGATCCCTAATCAGGCCCCCACCTCCTGCAACTCCAGTAAGTCAATCAAAGGCTCCATCAGTCTTTAGCTTAACCCAAAGCGACTCGGGTTTCAGCCAAACAACAGCTCTGGGAGGTGGATGCTGGACAGACACCAGCGGAGGTGGTGCAAAGCGGTGAGGTGGCGTGCAGCCTATCCAGTCTCTCTGAGTGAGTCTACCCAAAGCGGTGAGGAGGGAGAGATGTCGGTCAACCTGCAAAATAATATGAGAAGACAAAAAAGGGTTATCCCTATGCTTCGCGTTATTCCTTTCTGTCCAGGTGGCCCAAAAGATCAGACAAGGAATAAGAAACTCACGTGTCTAATGTGTGTGCGGTGTCTGAAAAAACTCAGGAGCTCAAAGAATGTATTTGTGGAGGGTAGGGGGATATGAGTGTAACTGGTAAAGTGCTCACAAACTCTCCTCAAAGACTCGCTCTCTAAAAATAGGTGGGTAAAGGTCTCCGTCTTAAAATCTCCAGTCACGGCACAACAGTAGCAACGCGAGCGGAAGGAGAACCCCCTCGTCTGCATCACAGTGTCAATCGGTAGACGGCGCAAAAGAAGGTGCCAAAGTAAAGCAGAGATGGTAGGGGTAAGTAGGTCGAACTAGATGGCCCCGAAGAGAAGGTTAGGCCGGTCACCCTGCCGTACTTCCCCCCAAGCTGAGGTCGTAGAGAATGCACCCGAAGATGTAAGCCTCCATCTCATATCGTCCAACCCGTCCTCCGAGATGGGAATCTGCTGGATCTCATCTATGACCTGATCACTAAAGCCCGCTCCAGAACCCAGAATCCTCTCTAGCCTATCCCTATCCCATCTCCCCTCCGTCTACAGGTCCTTCACCTGTAGAAAGGGAAGGTGGGTGACCTGTCTAGAGCTCGAAAAAGGACCCTCACTGAACCACCAATCATCTCAAAAGCTAACCTCCCCATCCCCCAGAGACCAAAAAATGTGCTCCTGAGCACGTATACCAACCATGGTGAGCTGCCTCCACTGCCTGCTATCGCGGGTGGTAGCCGTCACCCTACAGGGATGGGCAGCGCCTCCAGGGCAGTACTTCCTGCGAATACTGGGCCCAAAGTGACTTACCCTCCTTAAATCGCCACCACATTTTGTAAGAAAATGCGGTGACGACATCCGAGAAACGTCGGATCCCGAGACCCCCCCTCAGATAATGAGCGACATACAGAGTCCCACTTCACCCAATGGACCTGTCTCCCTGTCCGGGAGCCCTCCACATGCCCCCGGAAATAACGGGTCAGTGTAATATCCCTCTCAGTTATTAATAAAGTATCAGTAGTTGTTCCAAGATTTGATTAATTTCGAGACCCATTATTCAGTTATAAGTTCGAAATTAAGAGTTTTTCAAGGAACAAGCCACACGAGTCGTGTGGAATGAGCCACAGGAGTCGTGTGAAGCCACACGAGTCGTGTGACAAGGCACACGAGTCGTGTGGGAGGATGAGGAGAGGAAAGTTAGCTTCGGCTTTTTCACACGAGTCGTATGACAAGACACACGAGTCGTGTGACATAGGCACACGAGTCGTGTGAGGTCACACGAGTCGTGTGACATGCCATACGAGTCGTGTGACCGATAGTAAGGTCTGATCATTGAGAATCCTATTGTGGTCTCAACCAGAGGCTATTATTTAGGATTAACTATGTTTTTGAGAAGTATACAAGTTACTCATTAATTAGTTTATGATTAATTAAGTTTATAAGATTAAATTGCTTATTTTGTTCATTTCTTCACTCAATCCTTATGTCTTGAATTTGTGCCTATAAATAGAGGCCTAAAAATCAGAGTTCTTACACCAAAGATAAGTACCAAAAGTTATATAAGTGTGTAATAGAGATAAGTAGTAGAAATTGTGGAGAAGTGAAGAATTTAGAAGTGAAGAATCAAGTTACGATTCTAGCAAGAATGAGGTAATTTACTTATCTTAATGTTTCATACTAAAGTTCATGATTTGATGATAAGTTGAGATGATTATGAGTATGTATATCATGATTTACATGTTGAGTTTATAATTGATTCTATTAATACAAAGAGTTAAAATTAGTTCAAGATCAATTATATGATATATGTGCTTGATTGGATGAGATGTTGATAAAGATATGAATAAGCTGGAATAGTATGATTTAAATGAGAAATTCTTGTGTAAAAGAGGAGTAACTGAGAACAAGAATTAAGTTATTTGGCATAGTATGACTTATGTTATAGAGATTTGAAGATGCACATGTAAGCTGAATTTTATGTGTTAGTTGTAACTTCAAATTCTAATAACTTGATGTATATGCATGTTAAAATTATGAAATTTTTATGACATGTCTAATTATGAGTTGAGATTATGACTGTTAAATTTCATGATTTGAAGATGAGAAATGTATGAGTTAAGATAATTACAAGGCATATATGTAAAGATGAATATATATGTAAGAATATTCATGATATGTTCAAGTTGTTAAAGTGAGATTATTATGATCAGTTCTCATATAAGTGATGACCAATTTGACAAAGTTTTAGTTTGATATGTTGAGTATATAATCTTATAAAGATTGTTTTTAAGTTTCACATATTAATATCATAATTGAGAATTATGATTTAAAAGTTGAGTATGTTTTGAGAAATTTTCACTTTCAAGTTAATTAAGTGAAAAATGAGTATACGCCAAGATATAAGATTTGGGAGATATGATATATGACGAGTTAAGTATTTGATTGAGTAAAAGATCAAGAAAAGTTAAGTTTGAGCAATAGCATGATTATTGAAATTTTATAAGATTTGGATGAGTTGTCCGAAAGAGTTGAGAATCCGAGCATCTTATTGAGTATACGAGCATAGTACTTAGTATATTTGTTTATATATTTTTATGTAGCTTGAGGAGTTAGCCACTCGAGATCAACACTTACGATTTTTCAAAGGAAGAAAGGTGGAGACCCAGACTTGGGTATTACATTGAGTATAATATTGATATCATGTCTGAGGTATGTATACAGGTTATGTGGCACCCCGCCTTACTAGCTTTGAAAAATCAGAGTAAAATTTTCGCTTTTGTTTTCAAAAGGTGGTGCGAGCTTGGTTTTCGAAAACACTAACTCGTTGCGGGATGTCACAGATAAAAACTTTCTTATCTTGCTCACAGACATAAATAAAACATGAAACCAAACTAACCGCTACGGATAATGGAATTAAACA